AACAGAGAGGAAAAGGTTCTGGAAGAGGAAACTTATGGTCTTCAATGCTGGAAGCCTCTTTCTTTAACAAAAAGACAGTTTCATTATAGGAAAGGAGGACCACATCCCTCCCAGCACTTTTACCTTGCCACCTAACAAGAATTAGTTTTAGACTTTGACCTCCCCTTTCCAGTTCCCTGCCATATGAACTGTCAAATCACCTGCCAAATCAAATAACCCCATGCACAAAAAGATCAGGAGCCTGGGGCAGCAGAGAGGATAAGCAATTCCATGGTCTTCAAAATTTCCAAACTGTCCCCATTCAAGTTCATCCCACAGTTTGACTTGAAACTCTCACACTCTGATAAAAGTCTTGTCAGGGATCAGGTAGGAATGGGTAGTGCGGTTGGAAATTTTTCAGGTAGGAGGCAAAGAAAGATGACTGGAAAGAAGCTTCTGGGCTTGGAGGGGAAACTGGATAAGACCATGAAAATGGTACCAGGAGAGACTGGCATGAGAGGAGAGAGGTCTGGAATTGTGGCTGGCCTGTCCCCAGCCTGCAAAAACTCAGGAAACCTGAGTGAGCCAGGCTGCTTAGGAATGTGAAAATGTTTACATCTCTGCCCTCACAGCCACACTTTATTTATTTATAGACCTCTCTTCGCACAAACAAACTTGCTCCCCTCTGAGACACCAGCTCTCCTCTCGACTTTGGCACCGACAGGCGAGGCCTCTTAAGGGAATCAGAAGAGAAACCTCAGATCCTTGGTGGTGCAGCTGTGCAACCCAGGGAAAGGACTGCACTTCTCTGAAACTGACTTTTTCACTGGCAGAGGACAGATGTTCAGGAGCATACATGAGCCTCAAGGTAGAGAACTGTGGATCAGGACATGCAGCTCTGTTACCTGCTAAGGGGCAGAGAATTTGGATGGGATTGTTTGTATTTTATTCCACCTTGGACATATACAAGTTAGAGACTCAGAGACGGATTCCAGTTCTCTCACTTTATAGATATGGAAACTGAGCCTCAGAGAAGGATTGGACTTGCCTAAAATCACCAATTCGTGGCAGCACAAAGTTCAATGCCAGTCTTCAGATCTGGAGAAGATGCTTGTAGGGACATCCATTCCCCTAAGGGGACGACTAAAGAAATGGCTTCAACTTGCAAACAAAATGATTCAGGTGAGATATGTGGAAGAACTCCTGAATAGAAGAATGAGCAGCAGAAGGCTGCGTAACAGCTGAGAGGCAGGGAATGCCTAAAATGATCTCTGCGCTACACCTCCCAGGGCCACTAGTCTCACACCAGTCCTTTTCTTTTGGATTCACAGTCCTTCTCCCAGAGCCTGGTGCCCTGGTCACTGGCTGAGGGAACTTGAGAGGCCAGTCCTGGAACAGGTGCAACAGCTGGAGCAACTGTGCAGCTGTTGCCCGGCTCCTGGCTCCAGCTCTAGGTCAGCAGCCTGCAAGCTAGTGAGTGAGGCAGAGACCTCTACTGGTGGGAGAGCAGAGGTGCAGGACGGCCTGGGGCTGGACTTCAGGCCTTCACTCAGGTGCCTTCCACTGCCTCAGGCACATGTGGACAGGTGAACATGTGACTAAACCTTGTAGCAGGGCAAGGTCCCTACTGGCGGGTCTCCCACTACACCCACTTCCCCAGGCTCTCCAGGCACTCTCACCTGGTGTCTGAGAGTCCATCTATCCATTCCTTCCTGGCAGGGCAAGAGTATCTACATTGTCCCAAATGCCAGAGTAGACTAAGGATCACGGCAACAACATCTTCAGATCTTAGAGACTTAAAATCATGGGATTTTAATGCTAGAAGGTCCCCAGTGACCATCCACTTGAGTCCAACTGTCTTACTTCACAGGTGGCAAAACTGAAAGGCAGAGAAAGGCCACTTGTCCAGGGTCACAGTGGCAGAGTCCTGACTTTCCGACTCCAAGCTTACCCTCGGTACCACATCACACCATGGGGAGCTCCCTTCTTGCCCTATGCTTGCTTCTAAAACCAGGGACTCCATCACCTGGGAACAATCGCTTCAATTTCCACAGTACACAAAACCCTTGAAGAAAGAACAGAGGGACTGATGTTTTTCCTTGGTAACTGACCTTCTCTTAAAAGCAGGATTGGTTGGAGGGAGGAAAGAGAAAGCAGAAGCATGCTGGACACCTAAAAGGAACAGCTAGGGCTGAAGGGCACAAAGGAGAGGAGCAGAGAGAATCAGGGGAAGAGCACTGGAGAGGGAGTCAGAAAATTGGTCAGCTTCTCACTCCAAAGAGGGGTGAAGTGTCCAGAGTGACTAATGCCTGTGGTGGGCCTGGGGGGCTCAACCAGTACCAGTCTAGGTAAGGGGTCTAGCCTGGGCATGGTATTGGGGTTCAATCTGTGGTCAAGGTTGAAGGATTAAGGTTCAGCTTGTGGCTGGAGTTGAAACTCAGTCTGGATTGGGATCAGGACTCAATCTACAGCTGGAAATAGAGGCAAACACAGAGTAAATTTTGTTTTAATAGCCTTGTACTTGAACTGAGGTGCAAGCTGCCACCTATGCCCATAGGCCCTTGGCATTTTGCAAGGCTCAGCCATCTCAAGAGCCTGACACTGCAGAGATGAGAATTTGTGTCTCTTGGCACTGCTTCTGAAAGCACCTAAGGCGTCACCAAGAGATTTCTTGCCTCCATCAGGCTTGAGATCTCTTTTAAACTAAAACGAAGGCCTTTGTAAGAGACATTCAAGTAGCATCCTGGAAAATTATTTCCAGATTCATACACTGTCAGCACTAGACAGAATGAGGCTCAGAGTAGGGAAGTGATTTATCTCAAGTCACATAGCCAATAAGTGACAGATCAGGGACTGGGATCTAGGTTACCGTTCTTTTCCTTAATAAATCTGCTGCGTGACCTTGGGCAAGTCACTCCTTTCTGGACTTCGGTTTTAACTTTAAGGATGGGTGAATTGATGAGTAGAAGCAGATGATTTTCAAAGGCTCTTCTAGCTCTGACATCCTAGAATCTTAACATTCTCCACTGAATGCCGGTCCAGCTTACCTTAATTCAAGTTGGCTCCAGGTCTTTTTCTCACATGTTTGGACCTCTATATTTATGAGACTGTAGGGGAGATGGAATATTGGCAAGGCCTCTTGAGAGGTGCAAAGCTGAAGGCCAGTGGAGGTATGGAGGAGGGGAGATCAGAGTGGATCATGTCACCAGAGTTAACTGGGAGAGGTGTGACCTAAGCAAGGCCATGAGGGACTGACAAGGTATGGGAGGCAAGGAGGAGGGGTGGGGATACTTTCTGAGTAAACAAGGCACAATAATCTGGTTCTAGGACACCTTCCCAAGATGCATCAAGAACTATAGAGGAAAACCCTGGGGGCTAAGAACAAGGTGCCAAGTGGAAAGGAGGTAGGCATGGAGGGTGTCCTATGTAAAGTCTCTTTTAAGCAACAGCAGGCAGGTGTTAAAAGGAAACCCCCAGGGTTCAAGGTGGGGGAGGAGACATTTACTGAGTACTTGGCATTGTTCTGGCACTTTCTGTGCTGGTCACTTTAACACTTTACCTCCTTTAATCCTCCCAAGAACCCTTTGGGTTCCAGATTAAGTGTCTGTGAAGACACTGAAGCTCAGAGAAGTTATGACTTATAAGAAGTCACACAGCACATACAAGGGGCACAGCCAGGACTTGAACCCAACCCTGAGCTCTTTCCATTACTCGTTCCTAAGGACTTCCATCTTGCTGGCAGGCCAGAGACAAGCAGCCTGCTCTCATGAGCAGAAACAAGACAAACAAAATCTAGCACCACCAGCTCCAGAAAGCCACATGCATTAGAAAGACATTAGAAAGTTCTCTCTGAGTGTGGAGAGGAAAGAGCACTGCTCTGGGAGTTGGGAAACTGGAGTCTTAATCCCACACTCTGCCCTGTATGATCTGGAGCAAGCCACTGCACTTCCTTGGCCTCAGTTTCCTTATTGGGTATTGTAGGGTTTGAATTAAGCTCCTTCCTTTTCCTTAAGACAATCTTTGGTTTGGTTTCCTCTCCTCACAGCCTTCTAAGAGATTGGCAGGAGATGGGGTACAGGAATCACCAGCCTATTGTGGGGGCAGTGAGGAAACTGAGGTTCAGTGAGATTATATAACCTGTTTGAGGACATACTCCATCTAAGCAGAAAAGCATGAATTAGGGAACTGCTATTTTTTGGAGGCAATCATGCACTAGTCTTGTGCTTGATGATTTACCTCTTTTCTCTAATTTAATTTTATTAACAGTCCTGGTATTTTTGCTTCTATTTTATAGATTAAGAAATTGGCAATCAGAGAAGGGCTGTCAGTGCCTGCCTCACATGAGCTTGTGTCATCCAGGCTGGGGAGATGAAGACCCTGGCCTGTTTCTCTGTGCACTCCTAGAGACTCACAACACCATTTCAGGATTCCTGCCAAACGCTGTGCGGCAGGAGGCAAAACCATACGATTTGGAATTAGAGTTCTGGCTTTGGATGGCTAAAATTTGCAGAGTTCCTTCTCCTTGCTCAAGTTTTCTCACCTGTAGAATACAAGTGGTAATACCCACCTCGCTGGAGTGTTATGAGTAGGGAAAGAAATAAAGGAAGGGGAAGATTATCCTAGATAGCTCTCCTTTCTTTTCAAGGACTCTTCCCAAATGCAAAAGCCTTTTCTTTCTGAGCACATCCCTTACATGCTGCGAAACAGACCAGACTCTCCTAGAAATAGTAAGCGCCCCCACCTCAAAGCACTGCGCTCTGGCCTCCCCTCCTTTGCCCTCAGCGCTCGCATATTCAGGTCCAAGGGGGCATCTCTCTCTTGTTCTGAGTCTTCCCAAGTTCTCACCGACCTCTCAAACTCACCAGCCCGCACTGGTCCACAGAGTCGTCTCCACCTCTCCTGCCACAGGTGCTGCCTGGACAGCTGTCAGAACAGTTTGGGGTCCCACGTCCTGGCGCTTTCCCGCAGATCCCAGGGGCCCGCATCCCTCTTCTGTCCACCCAGCCTACCGTTCTACTTACGGGCGCGAGCGTGGGAGTCCAGAGGGAACCAGAGCAGCGCGAGTCCCAGCAAGAAGGACAGGACCCTCACCTCGGGAACCATCCTTCCTTTCCCCACGGTCAGGCTGCCGGGCACCGAGCCGGGAAGGGAGTCGGGAGAAAGGAAGGCGAAAAGGACACTGAGGCACGGGGGCACAAATCACCCCGCAGACCCAGGGAGGGCTGCTGCTAAAGGAGCAGCGTCGAGAAGAAGCTGGCGAAGAGAAAAGGAGGGCAGAAAGGGAGACCTCAGGTGGGAATAAAAGAAAGGTGGAAAGAGAACAAGGAGGAAAGGAGGGAGAGAGATGGCGAGACGGAGGAAGGGTCCAGCAGGAGGGAAAAGCAATCAAAGAAAGGGAGAAAGTGAGAGGGAGAGAAGAAAGAAGAAAGAAGGGAGAGGACGGGGTCTGCAGAGCGCGCAGCGCCGGGCGAGGCGCGCGGGACCAGCGGGTGGTCCGGGCGCGTGGGCTCGAGGCGGCCGGAGCCCCGCACGCGTCGAGCTCAGGGTCTGGCCGCTGGGACCTGGGGCTCGGCGGGACGACGGTACCGGCGGGGCGGCGGCGCGGCGGCCGCGGGGGGAGGCTGAGCGCGGGCCGGCTGTGCACGCCAAGGGCGCCAGGCGCCGCGCTCGGGCGCATTTGTACTTTGCCGCGGGAAGAAGGCAGCCCCGGCCTGGCGCTGGCCTAGCGCTGGCGCCTCCTCTGGGGCGCCGCGGGCTCGGTGGATTGGCCACCCGAGAAACAGGCCCACTTTTTCTCCTCCTCTCTTGTGCCGGTCTCTGGGACCGACGCTCCAGGCGCGGCGCCGAGTGGAGGCGAGGGAGCTGGGGTGGGGGAAGGGGCCACCCGGGCCACGGGTTTTAACTCCTGACTCCCCGCGACGCCCAGAGTGCTGGAGGCTAGAGTCAGGTTAGACTTCAGGTGGAACTTTCAGGTGGGGAAGGATGAGCCGTCGAGGTGACGCTGAGGTTAGCGGGCTGCGGGAACGGGAAAGCCCAGGGTAGGATGCTCCCTGGTATGTGCCCAGAACGCAGCACAAGGATAGAATTAGGACACTTACCTTTCTTAAGTCTGTAGTATTCAGCATGTCACCTCGTGCTGTTTCCCCAGCTCTAATATTAGATATTTCAATATTTTAAAATAGCTTTAATTTCTCCCCACAATTGTTGAGAAGATCAAATGAGATAACGAATCTCAAAGCACTTCAACCTCAAAGAGAAGAATTCCTAATTCCGAGTGCCTAAAATGCCAGTTTCCCTCTCTCTGCTCATTCCAGCCCTGCACCATCCATCCCCAGGCTGGAGGTCAGCCTCGCAGTGGTTCTCGACCTTCCTAGTGCCTTGATGAATTTTCCTTGTTACAAAGGGGTTGTGACCCACAGGTTGAGAACCACTGGAGAGGGATCCTTTGCCTTTTTCCTGGAAGTTTTCCCCTGTTTTTCCCCTTCCCACTCCCAAAACAAGACAGATCTCTCTTTTGCCTTTGCTAGTGAGGCCTGCATCTCTCTGAGAGTGAAGGCCACATTCAGTCACCTTAGGGAGAGGTAACTGTCAAAGGACTGTCTTTTCCATCAACAAGTGAGCTCCCTGAGGGCAGGGTCCTGATACCTTCATACTTTGTGTTGAATGAGTGCTTGAACTAATAGGGTCTGGAGGAGAGAATCAGCTCTGTTCAACCAAAAACACACAAGCTGTTAAGTCAAAAGGGCAGAGCCATTGTCCTGGCTTTATCCCTAACTTGCTGGGCCACTTTGGGTAAATACCTCCATTCTTCCTTTGTACCTTAAGTTCCTGCCCAGCTTCTCTTGCCGGAGACACCAGAGAGTGTTGGAGGGAAAACACTGGGGGGAATAAGAAGTGAGAAAGGCCACATCCCACTTTGGTAATGAATCAGATTTCCAGGTTTAAACACTTGTGAGACTATCTGTAAAGATATCTTCCTGGACCAATGCTGGGGTCCCCATCCCAATGTGGTGCCAGGTCACAATACCCCCAAGAACAGAGAGCAGTAGGAGGACCCAGTGATCCCAGCAAAGGCCTTCCCCAGGGATCTCCAAATCAGGGACAAGCGTTATTTGCCCCCAGTACCCTTTAGGTTTAGCTTCTCCCACTCTAACCTGGCCAGTCTCTGTCTTTCCCTTTAGTGTACTTAACAGATAATGAGAGCTGTGTATGTCATCGTGGTTCCTTTTTCACCTTGGCTTTCAGGAAGCTCAGAGTTAAATTTAGTGCTAAATTGCAAAAGCAGTGTCATCCCAAGGGTCTCAGCCAGTGATCTTGCCCTTTCTCTATCTTTGTTTAAAGTATACTGTGCATGTATATTCATGTCTTAGATATAAGAGGGGAAGGATTAAGACAGGCCTCACTTACATCATGGCCATTCTATTGCAAAAAAAGGTCTCTAATCATCTTGACACACACACACACACACACACATAGCCCGCCATCCTCATTATCCCCAGAGCTCAGGCCATCATCAATCCTTACTTGGATTTTCCCTGCTCCTGGTCTGGGTTCCTCTAATCTATTTTCCTCACACCTGCCATAAAAACTATGCTGATCATTTTTACTGAAAGATGTGATCACATCACCTTCCTGCTTAAAACCCATTATTGACTTCCTTCCAGTTACAGATTAAAATTGAAAATTTTCAGCATTGGATTCAAGACCATGCACATTTTGGCTCCAGTTTTGGCTGTTATATTGCCATACCATTCTCCTGCCTCAGCCCCCCAAGTAGCTGGGACTATAGGCGCCTACCACAATGCCGGGCTATGTCTTGTACCTGTTTTCCTTTTGCTTGGGCTATCTTTCTTCTGTTTCATCTCCTCAATGGAGCAAAAGTCAGCTCTGAGTCACTGCTCCTCTAAGACCTTCCCTGATTTCCCCCAACAAGTTGTATTTTTTTGTCTTTTCTTTTCCCCCTAGTGCTTTGAATTATAGCTTTTGGGCTGTACATATTTATCTGCATTTCTATCCTGTACTGTGAGTGCAGGTGCCTTTTTCACTTATACCTATATTTCCACACTTAATAAAGTCCCTTGCACATAAAGATACTGACTAAATATTGCTACATAAATGAGTGAGGACCTCCACAATTTGCAAAGACATTCTTTCATGGAAGTGCCTTCAGCATCCCTATTGGTCTGAGCTTTAGTCAGTCATTGACGTAAGAAACAAGCACTTGAGATAAGTTTTTGTGTCTTTTGCAGAATTACTGTTGGAGATAGTTGTCTGTATGTCATACAATATACTTTACAAAAGGAGACTTAATCAATTCCTTCAAAATCTAGTCAGGAAAAACAAATGCATCTCCCCATAGCAGCAATTTGCACCAAGAGTCTGTCCAGCATCTGTCTGCTTCCTTCCTAGGGAACTTGCTCATTGCCTTTCAAGGCAGCCCATTCTTCTGTTGGACAGCTCTGTTAGCAGTTCTTTATATTAAACTGAAATCTCATTCTCTGTGACTCACTGTATTGCTCCTAGCTCTGTCCCCAAAGCTTGTCTTTTGAGAGCTCTACAGAGATTTGAGGCAGAGAATCCCTGTTCCATACTTTCAGTCTTTACCAGTTTTGGTTCCTGGACCCCCCAAGTCACATTAAACCTTTTCTTTGAATGTGCCAAGCTCTTTATCCTCCATGTTTCTGCACATAGTGTTTCTTCCGCCTCGAATGCCCTCCCTGTCCCCATCTTTATTTGTCTGACAAGCTTTCTTGGTTTTCAGGGGTCATGGTAACTGTTGATTCCTTCATCTGTGCCACTTACTGAGTACCAACTCTGTGGCAGGCACAGGGCTAAGCGCTAGGGACACAGTGGAGAACAAGACAGACACTGATAATTATAACATGGGTTGTCACTTGACAACCCAAAACTAGTGACTGAGGCAAATATCTCAATCAGTGGAAGTTTATTAAGTCAAAGCTTAAAGATTTACCCAGGAAAAACACAAGCCACAGATGTACTTGTGGCTATTTCCCCATTCCCCCTACACACACACACACACACACACACACACACACCCCAAGACTTGGGACCTCAGTATTTAAAGAAGAGAGGGAACAAAGAAAGAAAAAGGGGGACAGGGGTAGGAGGCAAATGGTTACATTCTTGTGAGGCCCAGGAAATTTGTATTTTATATAAGATAAGGTGAATATTTGAAGAGAAAAAGGGAGTGAAGGGAGAATGGGTTATGTAGCTGTCCCTTGGTAGGGGGAAGGATGATTGATCTTGTCTTGTCTCTGTTCTGCACCTGGGAAGACAAACTTGTGATCAACATTATGAGTGTGGAATAGAACAGGTTTAATTTTAGGAGCTAGACTTAGCATGTAGACATAAAGTTACGATTTGCATGTCCTTGTTTTTGGGAGGCCAGTAAGGCATTTCCTTATGAATAATCTGTGGGGGTAGTTATTTTTATTTATTTATTTATTTTTCTTTTCTTTTTTTTTAATTGAATGGTAACTGTGTACATTAATGCACTTCTGAGGTACAGTGTGGTGTTTTCACACACAATCCAAAACACTTCCATCAAACTGGTTAACATAGCCTTCATGTCATTTTCTTAGTT